TAGACTTCCTGAATTACGAAATGAATATCGCTTAGCAACAAAAGTCCACTGGTCGTGTCGTCCACCAACACTTTGGAACGAGCCAGTGGTCACGCTGTTTCGTCAACGATGGGCGAAAAGGACACAACTCCGAGAAGAGTAGAGGAACGTCGCCTTGCGTGTGTGGCGCGGCCGTTGACGAAAACAAGTCGGATAGAAGGACAGAAATTTCAACATATGTTAAGTCTGCAAATAAAGGATGTGCCTGCCTTGGCTTCACGTTGGCTGTGGACATTAAAAGTGCGCTTCTACCGATCCTGTGGTATTCCATGGAATACATGGACGCGATAGTTTACTCGAGCAGGTCCTCGAAACTGAGCAATGATTTAGTGTTCCCATTGCTTAAGGCAGAACATCGGATATATGACCAGGGCAACTTGCTCGATGCGCTGAATTTGGATAAGTTTAGAACTACAATCGCCAGAAATCACAATTATTTAATGCAACGGTACCGAAGAAGATAACGTGCAATTGAAGATGATGTGTTCTTTGCACGAAAAAAAGTGATATTGGCTTCCGTCAGTTTCCTAATCCGTCTATCTAGGACATTCTGGTTCTTGCTTTAGGAATATAGCCACTTGAAACTTTCGCGCAGTTCGTAAAATGAAGTGTTATCTTCTGCTGAATCCCAGACGCCGGCAGAGGATCAGAGACATTGGAGATACAGTCTTACTTACGCCTCCGCTACCATCAAACTGATTTACTTACAAACGTTTCAGTCTTGCTCATGACTTAAGATCAAAACTTTACTGCTTGAATAGTGTTAGCGTCATTCACCGTATAAACTAAAAATGTATTAGCACAAAGTAATAAACGGATTTGCCTAGAAAAACAATACGAAAATGCTCTTATAATCATTTTTTGTTTTATACCGGGATACTACTGGTTAACAATAAACAAATATTTTGTTAGGTACCATCCATTGGAGCATTTTGGGAGAAGAGCTCGTTATCGAAGGAGTCGATATGTATGGCATTCCTGGATTTCACAGTGCCTGTTATTTATGTGCCTGGTCATATTTTTGTTGCCACTGTACTATCGGTACATCCGTCGAAAGTGTATCAAAGGATTCTTGGTCTTGCCTAAAAGTTCATCTTTGTCGCGTAATCGCTCTGTATACAGCTACATGATGATTGACATTCCAGAGAGGTGACACTGTTTTTGTTGTTCCGGTGTTTTTGTGAATGGTGGGAATTTGGAAAGTGATTCTATCCTGGTTTTTTATTGGGGTTAATAAACTGTCGTCATGTCTTCAGTCAGTTTTACTACTTGCTATTTTTATCTTATACCTCGTTATTTTTCTGCTATTCTGTCCTTACTGAAGCACTGAATTTTCAATGTATATAGTGTTTCGGGATGTCACTATTCCTCGAATCGTTACAAGATGCATGAAAAGTTCTTTCGTACCTGCGTCCGTCCAGTTCCATCCTGAACGATGGTCATTAACAACAACAGTTGAGCGTTCACAACAGCGGAATATGACTGAATGTTGCATTGTACTCAATAAAAGTTTAAGAACCGCTTTTGCCGAGACGTTTCGAGCAATGCTGCAGTTTTATACTGTCAGGAGCTGAATCGCTAGTTTTGACTACAGCCCGTGAGCCTTGATGGAGGATGTTCTTAGTAAAATTATATAAGAAATGCGATCGAATCCCAGCTCACTGCAATTCTGTTTTGTTGGTCAATTAAACAGTGGCATTTTATGTGAACAGGTCATATTAAGATGTAATTTCTTTTGTTTGAAAGTCGAGTATGAGGGGTGCGCAGAGTTTGCTAAATGACTATAGATATGATGTAGTTATTCTTTTTTTATTTATTTATTTAGAAACACCGAACGGAGCTCTACTAGGCATCTTTGGGCACTCAGTACGGGTTGTGATGCAATTTAAACAAAAACTTTTGTATGAGATTGTATTTTGTTTGTGTGCTGGTGAATAGAGTGAAAAATGTATAAAAACGGTTTTTTATACACAGTGACAAATTAATCAATCGGGGGTTCGACTAATACCGGCGTTTCGGATCGCATGTTACTGGCCTTCTGGGTACTCCGGGCTGATTTCAGCAGCTGGTTACGCAGTGTGCTGCTGTTGTAACGGTTGTAGTTAAAGGTGTGCATTCAGCCCATACTGCTATTTAAGTAGTTTTTCGATCACGGGTTTGATAAAGCTTGTCCAAATCGTGCAGAGTTCGTATCCCTTGTCCTTCGCCGGATTGAGTAATTAAGACTTCTGTGATTCATCTTTTTAACGATGCCTCGAATGATATTCTCTGACGATGCCCGTGCAATCTGACCATTGAGGACGTGGCGTTTCTCTGCTTCATACTGTACAATCCCCAGTTCGCTGACCTTGCTAAGAGCGAGGGTTTCTTTTCTTCCTGGATGCTTTGTTCCTGTATATCGTATACAGATGACCCTCGCTCACAATGCAAGAAAGCATCGCATATCGTGCAACGCGCCACAGAGAAAGGTTACGTCTCCAAAATGTCAGGACTACATGGGCTTTATAAAAAAGAAACGAACTGGATAAGCATACGAATCAAAGAAGCCTTAATTATCCAATCCTGCAAAAAATGTCAACCGATTAGACACGCCTTATCAAGCCCGTTACTGAAAAACTACTTAACTAGCAGCATGTACCAAAGGCAGGCTCCAAGCATCACAACAGCTGCAGATCACAGAACCGATGTGGAAGTCGGTCCGGACCACCGAAAGCCTAGGAGAGACAGACCGAAATGTCGGCACTGGTCAATCACCCGACTGGCCAACCTGTTTGCTTGCTTTATGTATAAATAAACCGCTTTTATACTTTGTAATTTTACAACCAAAACTGGTTTAACACTGCCATAGGACATTACTTAAATAAATCACTGGGTCAAATAACATAATCTCACCATCCTCCTGCTTCTAAAGGATTATTGGATTATTTGTCATAACTCTAGTATTTAAGCACCTGCAGTGCCCTGAATGCAAAGCCACATGACACTGTTCACTCGTACCACCAACGACGCGTTGTGATAAGCAGAATACGCGCTCGTCGCACTGAAGTAATACATTTTAAGCCAAAAGCGTTACGAAAAAACATCTATTTACCTTTGAACCAACTAGAGTTAGTATATGTCAATACGGTAGTAGACAGTGACTCATACGAGTCTTTACCCATTATTAAGTGAACGAGCTCATGTGACGCGCGTGAATTCGTCCATTCCGAAGAAGGCCTATCCTACGCGAAAAACTGCTAGACATCAGCTACTTGATGTATGTTTCTAAACTGAACCTGACACCTTCCAATTTTGGTAAATAGTTTAAGTTCACGCAACATCTTCTTTGAGACAGCATCTAAAGATTTCTGTATAAAATCGTCATAACAAAATGGATCTGGATAATAGCGATAATCGAAACTCACTTCAACGGTTCGTTTTGAAGCACAGGTAGGTAAATTCTTTAAATTAATTTATTTTACATGTATTAACAAAATAATATTTTATTTACGAAAACTCGTTAAAGGAATGCAGCCGTGGGCAGCAGGTCGTGAGCACTGCTTCTGAATTAAGCAATTACAACTAACTGCAGTTTATAAATGACTAGATATTACAGTGGTCATTTTAGTCATATCACCTGTTCTTGTCGCCATAATTCGAATCATGAAGCCAGGCATTGACATTGTCAACGGTTTCCCAGTAAATACCATTTCCTTCTGCTTTATAGATCGACGGCAGAAGCACATTAAAGAGTAAGTTCTTGTGGAAGTTATTAATAGCCAAAAACTTCTTCCAATTTCGCGAAACGCCAAAGTTGTAAGGATTGACATAGTTCTAAACATACAAAATGCATTAAAGAAATTCTGTGAACTGGCATGATTGGCTGAAAGAAGTGAGCTCGTTATACCTTCGACAGAAAAGAAGCCAAGGAAGTTCTGCACCTGACTATAACTGCTATCTTAAAGTTCTGCCTTCCGTTAAACTATTCTGACTGTTTCGATTCTCAAAAATATTCAGGATTCTAAATACGCTAAAAACTAAGACAACCTGCTTCCACGATAAAGCTTGAAGAGACGTCTAAAACAGATGAGTGGAGAACAGTTTTAAAGCAGATGCAAATAGGGATGCCTCGCCCTAACTCGTTGCTATATTCTATTGAAACTGCTGCCATTACTTAATGATCTGTCAGTGCCGTAATAAGTACAGATGGAATTTTATGATTCTAGTCCGTGTTTTAACTGTGACAAATTTGCTGATCTACGACCGATGACACCAAACAAAGCTGATGTTAAAGGTTCTACAATGTTAATGCGTTTCGCTACTACACTGGAGGTGTCATCTGGCATCAAATGATAAGGCGGGCAAGAAACCACCTTATAAAAAAGAAGATAAAACAAAATGTCAACAGCAGAAACCGTGAGTGACAGATATAACTACCCATGGTATCAGTCCGGATATCCAGTATCTATCCAGTATATGACTGCATCTCAGCGTTCGTTTATTATCATGAAACATGAGTATTCATTGCAGATTTCTTGTTTCTCTAACAAAGTATGAATGACACTGAATTTTGAGTGGTCTTTGTCGATTATGTGCCTCTCTGAGTCACTTCAGAAATATCACTCGCTTTCATGAACTTTCGCTTCCAACAACGGTTCCGCCATAGAGTGAGATATTTGACAACTGAATTAAGTGTTTTTGAAAACTGGAAAAGCATTCTTGGTTCAACTATCAAAACAGCTGTTATAACTGGTTTACCTTATATTTTGTTCGCATAGTCCCGTTGATATGCCGCTCGATACTTGTCTCACCGTGAGAAATCAGATGCGCATGCCAGCATATCAGTGCCAAGAGACCGAGCACCATACCGCATACGGTCAGGTAATCGACAAGAATGCAGTACCTTACAGTTTTCGCACCGAAAGCACTGCTCTGATTTCCTGCCTAAAAATCAGTTTTAATTATTTTACACAAGAGAGGCAGCCAAATGATCAATCAACAGTACCCATAAAATCTGGATAAAAATCATTTAAGCTAGCGCAGTGTAATACGTGAGCTAACCTAATACGTGCTCTGTGTTAACGAACTACAACTTACCACCAGTTGCACTTTACTAGTAATTCTTCTGCCTTGCTACATGCCTCATCGGACATCCCTCTGACTGAACTTCGAAGATGTAAAAGTGGCTTACCGAAAACTACATGATCCAGGCAGAAAGAACGTCTCAACCCACAAAGACCCTTAACACCCGCCTAACTCAGAGAATTGCGGAAACTTTTCCGGCAAACTGCTTGCGACTACATAATGTCATTTTTCGACGTATGACATACTTCGCGAGACATTATTATCCACAAGCAGCCCTAGAAAACTTACCAAAATGAGTCACTACAGTACGTAGTGTCAGACTTACACTGCATTGCCATCGCCCGACGAAATCAGACAAAATTCTAACAGCTAAGAATCTATCTTGTCAACTGCAGGAGTACGGTAATTGTTACTACCGCTGAATCCAGAAATAGTAGCAACCATCGTCTAACGTCTTTGAATAGAAGGGCATTGCTACGCATCGGCTTCTCATCTTTTCTGATCGAAACAGGGACAACGTAAGCTCGATATTTCTGGGACGCAAAGCGTCATCTACGGGCGTAGACCCCAGTTTTACAGAAACCACATATGAAGAACAATTCAGCGAAACTTCACCGTGCGAAGTAAGCTTCTAGTTCATGACGTAATTCTAGTCATCAGGATTCCACTTTGCCGCAAAACAGTGGAACTCATCAGTAGAATCCGCAAGATGCAGTTAAGATGGGACACCCTATCTGCACGCGGAAAAACGGCAGTCCAGAATACAACTGCGGATTCTTTTGACAGGCTGCCAAATTTGGACTAGATATTCAACTGCTGCATTCATCCACAAGAAGAATGATAAGTTTTGCAATAGAAGAAACTTCATTACGTAAAAATATAAACTGCAATAGACGTCAGTGTTAGAATAAGTTTTTACCTTCTCTGCTTCAGTGATAGCCAAATTATTTGACGCAATGCCATGATCGCCGCATAAAAGTCGAAACAAAAAATATGACTGCATATCCAATAGACACCATGGTACCACATCCTTCAAATATATGTTAATATTCGGGTGAGAAATAAATTAGGATTCAGGTAACAGTAGTTGCTTTCTAAATGTATAATTCACCCAATCGCTGAAACTCGCCGTATATTTCACTCTACCCCTTCTCCTGGTCTTTCGACTGTATAATTAGTAGAGGTACGCAATGTAGAAGAAACAGCTATTTGGTGACTATGCTTCAGGCTGTCCTGACACCATACATCATTAAAACAGTAAGGATGAGGTAAGTAGCGTTAATAGATTCATCAAATTTATATATAAGTTAAAGTTTCGCTTATGTTAAGTGACGGGTGTGAACCGATGATCCGATGATTTCTAATTCGTATGCTTCAACAAACTCTCATTTCAGAGCAATATTGGCGACAATTTAGAACAATTAGAATGAAGCCTGGTGCAGACATACTGGCTTGTTCCTTTATGCAAGTACAGGGCAGTAAACTGTCAGTAGTATCGCCTTAAAACGGATAATGAGCCTCTGATCACTTCCCTCTGATTCTGAGTTTCGAATGGTCGTACAGCAGTTTCATTAAATAACTTAAATAACCTGCATGTACTCTTAGTTGCAGACAGAAAGCCCATTACTACACTGAAGTTTCCTTTGTGATGTGCGTGCGCGCAACAATTTGGCAATGTACGGTTGAAATCCCGTGCTTGCTCAGTTTCCATATACAGTAAACAAGTAAATGCAAAATTTGCTTAAATGCGCATACCTACCTGTAATCGGTAAGCTTAGTCACTTCATCCTGTCACTATTTTTGTTCCGTTTTAATTTTCACTTTTCATTTTAGGCTTTTATGGTCTCTAAATACTAATTTTCTAAATTTTGCATTTACTGATTACATTCTATGCTAACAAAATGTCGTCGATCAGATGAAACACCGAATAATTCATTGATTATGATGGCACATCGAAGAGCATGGCTATACGTCTCACAAATTTTGGCACGATCATAACAGAATGCTACACTGCCTTAGACTTGATAACATATTCAATGAACGCGCTTTATGCAACTACAATTCGCCTTATGCTCCCTACTATGTTCACAGATAACATTAATAAGGAAAAGCGTGAAATCTCTGACACATCAAGTAATCTGTTAGCATAATAACTAACAAAGACATCAGATTTCTCGAAAAAGGCCTGCCTCGTTGAAGAAAGCCTCTCGATTAATCGATCTCGACCTGAATATCAATTCGTTTTTTAAAGTGGAAGAGTTTCTATTTATGGTCATAGTGTGTTAAGTACTACCACTACTGTAGCTTTCGCTATCATTTTTACATTCAAGTAAACTCCTTACCACTACTGACTAACAGTTAACTAAAAAACAACAACCAAGGGTTTAAAAAAACCTCACCGATTCCAGCCAGTAATGGTCAACGAATGTGTAGCGCATTCCGACCAGGATATACAAGCATCCTAACCACATGTAAACCATGTAGAGAAAAAAATACCTATGATTATAGAAGCCAATGCATTGATCGAGCCATGCTAAAGATTGTAGCTGTAGAGAAAAACTACTCAAAAATGAGACTTACGACAGTGGTGATCCATTTTCAGGATGCATCTATTGCAAATAGAACAGTGATGAGTTCGTGGTGGCTTAGGACTTATACAATGCTTGCACATACTAACTGCGTTGTCAATGAAACGCCCCTAAAATCAGGCATCAAACAATGACAGTGATTCATTCACAGTTGGCAGAGTATGTAAAAACTCATCATAATTTTTTTTGGGAAATAAAACCGATGGTGGTTTCGAATCTTCATATCTGGACAATTCATATGAATATCTCTCTTCGAAGCAGACTGCCCCATTGGCTGGCCACTCTACGTTCTTTTCGGAGCTTCAAGGCAAATCAAAGGCGCCAAACATTCTATTCTCAGCTGATAACTTGGCAATAAAAATTGGCCGACAAACTACCGGCGGTTAGCACATCACAGTGCTGAATAAACGGTGTTTAGAAACCGTGTAAAACAACCACTAGAAAGAATGAAGAAATACAAAGGACTAATTTTCGTCAGCTGTTAAGAAAGAATGAAACGCGTTAAAATCCATACTTTCATTACAAATCCGGGCTTCACAACGTAAGCCATGTAATAGTTGAATAGGAAGTTTATCAGTAACCAATGGCCGATAACCAAATAGGCGACGATTTCGATCGTCGGTCTTCGTTGCCATTCGTACGGCGCAACGATAAAGTAGCCAATGAGAATGACTATAACTACCATACAGAAAAGAAACAAAGTGAAGGCCTAAAAAAGCGTCATGTCTTAAATCAGAGCATCAAATAGCCATCTATAGACATACCTTGCCGAGAAAAGACACATAGTTATCAACGAACCAAAACATGGGCTCAAACAAAGTGTCGATCGCATAGTTTAAATCGCAATGATCATTGTAAAACATAGACCAAAACAATGCCTTTGTTTCAGAAAGGCGTAGACGAATATACGACTTCATGACTTTCCAGGGACTGCTATTTCGATCGATACCAAAGCATTGTTATGCAGATAAATGACTCGTTAAAATTAACATCTATAAATGCAATTACTCAAAATTTTGATAACAGTTACTTTCTTATATGGTTCATTTTTTCAGAGTTAAAATTATTCACTACAAGTTTAACTCATTACTGCATGAAGCTTATGTACAACCAAGTTCGCAATTCTATGCACGAATGAACTAATTCTAAAACAATGACCTTTTAAATGTTCTATATTCCATCAGAAATTACGAATCCAACCTCTGGTTACACTTCTGAAAGGTGAACAATGATTGGAGAATAGAGAAGGGAATAATTCCTGTAGAGACAAAGTAAAACGAATTATTTTGCCCGTGTGGAAGCCATAACTTTTTTACTCCATATGGACGTTTGTGATGAGATCTGAAGAATTATATTCGTCTGTTAACTTGTTGCAGCAATCGTTCCTTCCTGCAATCCAAGTATGATTTTGAACCAGCCACCGCTGAGTGTTACTGTGATGGACGATCGCACGATTCTTCAGGCACAAGGTCGAAGGAAGAGTGATCCACAGCTTGGTCGAGAGGAATACCCCCACCTGACTGGAATCTACGAAGAGTAAATATGAAATCGAATTGACTGTAATAACTCAATTTTCGGCACAGTAGACTCGAGAATGAAACATCTATTGCAGCACCGACAAAACTATATTTGTAAAATTTTAATAAACTGCCCCTTGCCCGATAGTAGCACCGCTTATGAACTCGTACGAGCAATTCTTCAGTCGTCCACGATAGTATGTTTGTCGATGAACTACTCCTGTAAATGTAAAATAGCACAGTGATAAAGAAAATGTATAATCTAATGAAGGCTAAAAACGATTATTATAATAACTGCTTCCATTTTCAAAAACGTTAAAATGTATTTAAACCGTAATGCACTCGGTAAAAAAGTTTCCTGTTCGTAAAATAGCAAAACAAAATAGACCAGGTTTACTTTTACCAATTGGAAAGTGAGGTATATAAAACAGTTTTAACATTGGTATTAGCATAAAACAAAAAAAAAACCAACAGCAGTGTTAATAAAAGTTCAAATTGGTTTTCAAAATACAAATAAATACTAACGACAACAAACAATATACCATAAAAACGATTTTCAAAATTTTGCATAAAATCGATGAGGCGCAATAGAAAATTGAGGCAACAAACAATGGCTGCGAAATCTATACAGATGTCTCTGAACTCAAACGTAAAGCAAAATTGTCCGCTCTTGTCAGAGAGGGTTCTTCGGTGAGATTCAGGAAAGGGAAATCGCTGACGGAACATAACAAGTAAACTCCAGCGTCAGGGCCAGGTGAATGACAACGAAGTTGAAAAACGAGACCATGTGATATGTTCTTTGATATGAGTTCATCGCAGACAATTGACCAGTTGGCCTCCGGCAAGATACCCTAAAGAAATCGATTGGGAAAGGTGAAACAAGCACAAGTTTATAAAGTATACGTCACTGTCGGACCAAGATATTTAGTAAGCACTTTGATTAGTACAAACTTAATTAAACGAGGAACGCTTCATGCAACATCGGTTTGGATCGGAGACAAAAAAGGTAATACCAGATTATGCCTATGCTTACGTTTGCCTTCAAAGTGCAGACGGATTGTTGCATTGCAAATCAAATCTCCAGCATCTCTGAGTAAACGCAGGTTGAAACGTAGGGTCTTCTTCAAGGACTTTAGCTGGATAAAGCAGGGAAAACTGTACAGAACCCGCGAAAAATGCTCTTGCAATTGCCAATGGTCTGCCCCAACAAGGTTTAAAGATGTTTCCCTCACAACACGATAATCTAATATAAAGGTTACCAGTAAGTTAATTCATAAACCGAACAGCTTCAAATGAAGAAACTTCTAGCTCTGAGACGATGAATGACTGAAATAATAGGTAAATGTCTTTTGACTACTGTAGACCAGTACTACTTTCGTTCAACAAACTGATTATGCCAGTTTTACTGACAATTTTCTTCAATGTTTTGTTTGCTGCTCATATTTAATTCGATTCGTGCCCATGCCGATATCTTTCATTTATTTCTATTGAAATACGAAGTTATCCGACAAAAGCCTAAACTGTAAATTACCAAATTTTCAGAACAGAAGTTGATTTGAACGGATCGAATCAAAGGAAAAATAAGTTATTCAAAAACGCATACCTCCAGTGTTTCTTCATTGTTAAAAAATCTTTCCAGAAAAGCTTTCGGTGACATGTCGAATGCGAGGTACTGTGTGAGATGCTGTACGACTTGATCTGCGGTGTGTCGAGGCTGCTGCCTGGTGACTCGTAAATATTTCTGCAGTGTGCGCGCAATCGAAGGAAATATCGCCTGAGCAGTTTCAAAGGCGTTCATTGAGTTTGCAATACCTGAAATCAAGCTAGTGATAAAATGACATGGAGCTAATTATGCTAGTAGCGATAGGAATCGCATTCAAACAGAGATAATTGAGACGCACTATGCCGCAGGCAATATTAATACTGTACGGCAAGAACTATGTGCTTCTGCTTATTATGTATTCTTTAAATTAGTTTAATGCCTGCTGCCCTGCCAATTCTTCGTCTTAATTTTATCATTCAATAAGAGGTTTCAGTAATGTATTTCGTGCCTGATTCATTTTGAAAATTGCTTTAGCAGTTTAGAAAGAGAAGAAACGTAATACCCTATACTGAATCTTCCACAACAAGTAATCAAAGTGTTTCAAATTATCTTTTTCAGAATCACGGTGAAAATACTACCTTACGAGTTTCTTTACAATGAACGACTACGTCTAATTAAATCTTTTGTTCGTTTATGTAATCAATCGAGTAGTTTTATGTACCTTAAAAACGAACATTCCAGAATATTGCTATTACACAGCAAAAGCAGTAATATCGTGTTTCATCATTTTACATTTCATAATCTATTTTCAAATTGTTATTAGTCTGGAGGATACAGCTTCAGTATGCACATATCCGAACATTGTCGAAGGCGTTCTCTTGATCACGACAATGAGCGACTGTCGGACGAGAGTATATTGAAATTACATATTCGAATTATGTTGAGCCCCAGCAATTCTTTGAATTAACATCACTTCTGTTGAATGTATCGGTGATCGCAGTCTTTCGGTCAATTCTGGCAATGATGGCCATAAATTAGGAAAAGTGAGTAAGCACATAAGAAAACATGTGGCTGCGTACTGCTCATCATCGGTCCACTTCCAAGTACCGTTCAATTACTGTTAACCTCATAATGTAATTATCGTCACTGTAAATACCGTCTATTTTATTTTCTATGCATTACTTCGAAGAGACATCTGATATGCATGTTTAATGCTACATTCATGTGGTTTACTATTTAGTAATGCTGATCAAGAAATTCGTCAGATAGTTTACTTACTGAAAAAGAACAATAGACAAGTTTGAGAAGCAGCAATGATGATCTACCGCATGAGCAGAATCAGTACGAAGGAAATAGACGATCCAATTAGCAATAACAACGATAAAACGGCGTGTCCGTCTGGGACAAGAGGTTGCTGACAGGCTATAACGACCCGTTGCACATAAAGTTCATAAAGCATCTTCAAACCATCCGGGAACTTGGAGTATTATATGGCTACCTACGCCCGTACAGAGCTCTATCGGCTGTCATTATTACCATTTCTCGTCACGATCCTTCGACAGCCGGTTAAAGAGAGAAAGTAACTTGCAAATAGTTTAATAATGAAGCACTGAGAGCGGAAATATATTGTGTATAAATTTGTCCGTGATTTTATGTACCTCATAGTTTCTATTCGAACTTGTGATGGGACCATTTAATGCTGAAAACAACTATGAATACAGAAGGAAATAAATCTGATTGACTGAGATAACGCTACGAAGACATATGGATTAAATTAATAAAGCAATACAACGGTTCGAAAAATTCAGAAAACAGAATTACTGTTAATGCAAGTTTAATATGTGAACAAAGCTTAAGTAATGGACAATACACAAACTCTGGAAGTGCCCGTGACTCAAAAGTTAAGTTGTAAAAAAAGATGTCGCAAAAAAAACATGTGATTAATAATTAGCACACAAAAGAAAAACCGTCTGGCATAAAACAAGGCCAAAACCTGATCAAGAAACGTCGTCGTTCTGAAACACATCTCATCTGAAATCTGTAGCGAAAACATTGAGTTGGTCAACTGAAACGCTTCAAAGATAAAAAATATTTAGAAACTGAATAAAAGACAAAATCAATAGAATGTGTGTTTAAATGTATCACGACTGACTGTCACATTGATTTATCACTAAAGTCAGCCAACAGCCGTCAGAAGAGCAAGAAAGCAGAGGTGCAGTTGGATACAGACATGCGTGTCGGGGTCAACAACGTTCAGAACAGTGCAGAGACAGGACGGAAATGTGATGTCCTTAAGCAGAGAACATCGACACAAGCCTGGTTTTGTCAATCAATATATGCTGCGCATCCATGCGATGTTGTCACAATGGTTGTCACATCCCTATTATAGATGTTACACTCTGGTTCGTAAGCCAACCCGTCAAAACAACCGGCAAACAGTTCCAATAATACAGTACTATATTATCCATGTTCATAAAACACTTAAGCTGCATATAACAGATCCACCTGCTTTACGTGCTCTGCTCGTTGATATATTGATTGTCAACTGTGACAACTATCAAGAAACTAAACATCATCAGAGACCCACCACCACTGATAGATGAATTTGAATTTCCATAATCATACACAATGAAAGAGTAGTAGCTACAGATTTAACAAACAAAACTTTTAAAGTTGGTAGTAACAAATTTCTGAGGAAATAAAAACATTTGCAGTAACACTATGTAACACAGTAACTATCCAGTTAAATTGGCTAATAATATTATAAACCGCGGAACAATAAACTTTAAACTAAGTTCTAAGAAAGGTAATGTAGAAAGTAACGTAAGGCAGTAATCTAAGAACAGAAATTAGATAA